TAGTATAGTTTTAAAAATATTTATTAATATATAATTTATAATAATAATAATAATTTTGGTTTCAGTGTTCAGTCACTTGCTCCACTCTGACAGCTGCATTCTCTTAGGCGAATTTCTGGCAAATTCAGTTATTATTTCACTTTCATGGAATTGCTCTTTTTTATTTATATTAGCCATAGCTAACCCATTCAGTCTGTTTTCCGACATGGTGCTTCTTAAAAAAATTTTTAAGCGATTAAGTGCTGAAAACGTTCTTTCCGGAGTGAAAGAGGTAACTGGTAACGTGGCGAATAATTGTAAAAGTATTTTAATGTTAGGTCGAAGATTGGTGCGATGAGAGAGTGAATCAAGAGCAGAATTCGGTTTTGGAATAGTATTTTGACTCCATTGTTACCTCCATATGAACAGGTCAGCCCTGATTGTAGATGAGGTATCATCATGGAGATCTTGGACATATATTTTAGCAGCTTTTATAATATTTTTATCGTCATACATATTTAAATTGGCCGGAATAAGTCCTTCAAGTGACATAACATCAATAAGCCTTTGATTAAAACGAGCATTGATTCTATTAAATAGTCAAGATACATTATACATATAAACATGGCCCATGGGGGAGGCTATAGCCCCCTTAGCCCCCCCCTTGGCTACGCCACTGATTAAGGGTATAAGTGAATAATTACTAAAAATAGAATCAATACTTGTACTCGAAAAAATTAAATATAAAACACTATCATGATTATTTTTTACATTATTTACTTGTTTTAAGTTTAAGTAATTTATATATGAGTTTACAATGCAGTTAGATGAGGTATTAGTAAATAAAGAATAGTCTGAGGAAGACAATTAATTTAAATTAAAATTACCTAAAATTAATATATTATCATCTATAGAAAAATGAATAACGAGATTTTCGACAATCTCGCAGTGTTTTCTATACATATCTAAATGAGAATTCGGAGGAATATAAACACAAGCAAGGAGGAGGTTATCAAAACAAATACTTCATCAATATTTGGTATTATGGTGATAGGGCTTAATAGTTTGCAATCTAAATTATTTTTTTAGCCAGTAAAATTCCACCACCTCGATTTTGTAGATTAGATTAGATTAGATAGATTAGATTAGATCGAGCATCGATCTACTCCAGCGGTTCCCAAACTTTTTGAGACTATTACCCATAAGTCAAGTTAGATATTAACAAATACCCCTTTCTCCCAAAAAAAAATTTAAATAAAAAAATAAGGAAAAAAAATATATATTATGATTACAATTATAATTTATTTTAATTTTTCAAACAGAAAAAACAAGAGTTTTTATTACAACCAATGAATAACGGTAATAAACGTTAATGAGACGGTTGATATTGATTTTTTCTAACAATTTGTTTAATATTCGGTTCAGTTTCGGTCAATGCACATCTTATGTCGTGTTCCAAGTTCAATCGGTTTCTTGCTTTTGTTTTCATTGTTACCATTGTTGAAAATCCAAGTACACTAATAAACAAACGGCGAACGACTGATGATTAAAAGTTTAAAACCTATAAATTAAATATCGATACCTTTTTACATATAGGATATAAAGGTGCGTACAGGCGGAGTAGCTTTTGCCACGCGGCATGAGTGTGAATACATGAATACATTTTCCGCAGCTTTTTTTGATGCCACGCGGCATGATTTCCGATTGGCCTAGTAGGCGGTCTACATCAAAGGAAAGCCGCTCGCCTATATCGCGTGTATGTAGACGTATTTTCGGCAAAGCCGCGTGGCATCAGTACTTATTTTTTAAGTAGGTATTTAAATTATTTTTTAAATAATTAGTAATAAAGCAAACTTTTTTCACTGAAGTAAAACTGATTTTTGTAGTTATCTCCAGAAGACACAATATTTATTCTATCAAAATGTCAATACTGAAGATTCTCTGTTTTTAAAAATACAAAGATCAATAATGATTTTTCAAAAATCTTTAATTTCATGTTTTATAAGATTCAAAAATATAAATTACTTGCTGATTTCGTACACTTCGTTGCCCATTAAAAATTACACAACTTTATAGTATTTTTGAATAATATATTATTATTATTATTATTATTATAGCTTTAAAACAAATTGGGAAATAATTGCCGCACCGTATGGACGTGTATTTGTCTCGCGACACGGGGCCAACGTCCCGGGGAGGCCGCGTGGCAAAAGCTGCTCCATCTGGACGCGCCTTAAAATGTGTAAAGAATTATAAAACAAAAAAAAATTCCAAGAAATTCAAGATAATGTAATATTAAAAGTATTATTTAAAGGTAATAAAATTATCAGTATCGTTAGAACATAAGATAAGGTATTCCCCAAAACTATTAGCAACAATATTATAGTATTACAAGTACATTTAAAGTCATAGTACACATGACTAAATAGATAATAAGTACTTAAAATTAAAATAAATAGTTTAACCTTTACCCCTAAAAAAAAATCGTGTTTTTACTCCTTGGGGGGTAATTACCCCCAGGTTGGGAACCACGGATCTACTCTAAATATATTAAAACTAGTAAGACCTAATTCTGTATCATTAATAGAATTATTTAACCAAGTTTCAGTTAAAAATAATAAATCACAATTTAAATTAAAGACAGAGTTACGAAAAAAATTTAGTTTGGTTCTAACCTCTTACGTTTTGGTAAAATACATGAAGATTTAAAAATTTTGAGAATTTTGTGATTGAGTATTTGGTGCACTGGTAATTTTGACGATTTTGGGAACTCTTCTTTGAAATTTGATTGTTAATTCAGTTTCAACATCGTTTATACGTGAGGCTAGTTCTTCTCGTAGCTTTTTCATCGATTCTCTTTGATTAGGTGTTCGATCAGTGGAAATATTAACTATGGAAGATAGATTTGAATGTGAAATTTTCTTCTTATTTCTTATAATACCAAAAACATCAATTGCCATTAAAAAAATTGCTTTAATTGGACGCATTTTACCAGGTTGATAACGACTTAGCCGAATAACCTTTAGCGGGACAAGAATGTCACGACTAATATCAGTTAATACTATCGAAATAATATTATTAATATGATTAGTGTCCAAAGTTATTCTATTCTCAGACCGGTTTGATTCGCTTTCTTCGAAATTATAAAATATAAAATTATTTGCACGTTCATTTATTTCATTAATGACAAATTCGTCCGAAAAATTAATGTTATTGGTAGTATTGTTTTTAATATTTTCGACATCAACAAGTAACTTATTTATGAGGGATTTTTAGTTCTGGTAATTCTTTGAATCCTTAGTCACAACTAACACAGAAAAATTTGGGTAATCTATTTTTTAATCCAAAACATTTGAGTTCAGTTGCAGATAATCCTGAGCATTTATTATAAACTAATGAAGAACAACTGTCACATTTAAATGGATTGTGGAGTTCTGCAAATTACTCATTACATGAATAGCAAATGAAATTATTTAACATAATGAATAGATAATAATCACTATGAAAGAAAATGTAGAATGAACTAATAATAATTAATAAAAATTTTAGTAAGATAACGGACCGAAATACAGTAACGCACAGAAACACAACCACACAGTTCAATAGTCTACTGATAACTTGCTTTTTATATAACAAATCGGGAAATATTTTTGGTGAAAGTTCTGTAATGAGCTTGCAGACTCATGACCGCAGTTATTAAAATTTAACATGGGTATATTTTACTTAAAGAAGTACCTACCTTAAATAAACTAGTAAATAAAATGATTACGCTAAACAGTTTTTTATCAAAAAAACAATTAGATATAGATAGCTGCATTATACATTAATAAATGTCGTTTATGTGATTGTGTTAATCAAATATTGTAATCATACAAACTAAACATAAGCAATATTTATTGAGTAACGTTTTTTCGAAAATCACTCAGTCATTGTGTGTAAGTATAGTCCAAGTATAATCCGAGTCTTATTTCCGTAGTGTTTACATTATTTTAGGCCAAGTCATTCATGTGTAAGAAGAAATTAATATAAAAGTAAATAAATAAATATATTTCCTTAAACCAAACCTACTCAAAACGACTATACATAACTTACTACCTAATTAAGTTGTCATTAAAAGAAGACATATCTAATATTAATAATAAAGATAATAAATTGCAAAAATTCATAAAACGTACATAAGAAAATAAGGATATGATAATTTTGTGTTATTTAAAAATAATCAATATTATTGCAAACACATCCTGTATACTAACAAGATTTTTCTAAACTCCACAGTTTAATTACAATATGTAAATATACTTTTAAAAAATTTTGTTATTTTAAGTGACCAAAATCGAAAAACATTTTAAAAAAATGCTGTAATGACCGAGTTTCTTGAAAGAAAAATTAATAAACTAGTATTATCCTGCTAGAGATTGATTGTTACCACTCCTTCGTGACCAAAAATAATGAACATTTATCATCGTGTGATAACTTCATTGTAGAACAACTATCAATACATCCGTGCCTAATTACAGCAATTACTAAAATACAACTTCTATTACTGCCTTCGTTATATTTTTGAAAATTGTTTTTTTTTTTATTTATTCAAATGTAATCAATATCATTTCAACGAATTTTTTTTAAGACAATAATAATAAATTATTTGATTAGATATTAAGTTATCAAATTCATATAAGATTAGAAGAACCATGAAAAACAAAAGTATAAAAAAAGAAGTGATTCAAAATATTAAAACTACAACCGTCATGAACGGTTTCCATTCGTTTCCGGATGAGGAATATGTTATTCTCTCACAATTTGTACAAAATCACATATTTTGATTTCTGTGATCGTTCAGTTATAAAATGATTATATTGTCATCATATCCGAAATGTGATACACGTGATCGCGGTTTCGATGTTGAATGAACTATCTGTTATGACTATCTGTTGACATGTAAATGAAGCAGCGTTGAACGTGTTTCGCGCTGCTTAATTATTTTAAACAACCGTGCCATGAACGCTATCGCTATGCTTCAGATCCACACTATTTTGTCCAGTATCGAGTTCAGGCTGAGAGACTTGTCAAATACGATGAGACGAGACCAACAGATTGAAAGGATCAATTCCAGAATAGACGTAATGCTCAACAAGCTCAGCCACTTAGAAGTGTCCAACGGACTGTGGTTTGATAAGTTTCAACAGGTCAGTAACCTAATGAAAATATATAAGTATTCGTGTGATTTTTTAGAACATTATTTTTTATTATAACAAAGTAATTGAAATCTTGTGACATTTTATACTTATTCTTCTACTAAGTGACTGAAAAATCACGCTATTTTATGATCTTTTTTATTATTGTACCAATAATATAATAATAATAATAATATTAATAATAATAAAATACTTAATGAATATAAATATAATTTATACTTAAATTCATAATCTATACGTATTAATCAATAGAGTTTAAAAATGTATAAATAATTTAAATATTTGTAATACCTTTAAGTGTTTTTTATTTTTTAAAAGGTCACTTTTTCACTTATGTATTTTTAAGACATCATTGTGTTTTTTATGTCATAAATGCATTTTTTTTAGATTACTCGGAAATGTTTTTATAATAATTTAAATAGTTTTCCAATTTGTAACTTTTTTCAATATTTAATCATTTATCTTGAAATAACGATATAACTAATTTCCAAAATATTTGTTGCTTAAGACGAACCAATATCAATATGTTAAAATTAATTATAATATTTATGTTCTGACTGACACTATTGATGACTAGAAATATAGTTTTATAATTTTAAAATAAAATATTATACTGTTTTATAAAGCCAGTATTTATACTTACAAAATTTGAAAATCAAGAACTAGTCGAGTAGACATACTAAATAATTGAGAATTGTTTAAATTACGATTACATTTTAACTTCAAAATCAATGATAGTTCATTGTATTGTAAGCTGCCAAAAATAATCTAAAGTGAAATACTTATGATTAACTACTCGTACATTGTTTATAGAAGAGTTTTCAGATTTTAAGTGACCGTAAAAAAATTCTCAAAAGTACCGAAGCACTTGTTAAAAATGTTTACGAAGGCATCTATCCAGAAAAAAATCTAAAGTTCCAATAAAAATGTATATGCCTAATTTTTAATGTATATTTGTACTAAAGACATTTGTTATGATGTACTGGATCACAAAAAAAACATGGAAAAAAATATTTTATCACTCTATATAAATTACTGGAATTCAATTAGTCAACGCATTATCATAAAGTTAGAACATTTAATTTTTAGAAGATAAAACGTATAACCTTTTTAATTCCAATTAATAATATAATAATAAAATAATAATATAAAATAATATGTCAAATAAAACTTAGACCGGCCATAATTGCTTCTAAAAATGAACCAAACAAGACATTTGTTTTCAACTTTTTTTTATACGTGTGACAAAGATTGTAATAAATATCAAAGAAAAAAAAACACAAAATCCCTGATATCCTTTTGCTTTTATTCAAAGAGCAAATGTATTTTAATACTCGTATTTTAAAACCAACGCATAAATATAATACAAATGTTTTTAGCAAATGTAAGATAAACAATAACGAATAACATTACAGTCGGTGGTGGAGGAATGTGGTCCGAACCACATGACCAGACGTCTGGACAAGGCTCAACACCAACTGGAAATCACGTTAGAACACATGGAGACCACTCTTCAGACCGTGCATAATCATCAAGTTAGTACGACAACAAATTATAATATTAAATAGATAAAAGTACAATATAATTGCGTGATAAATTAAGACGTAATATTGATATTATTTAAACGACCTGTTTCAATGCAATTTTTTCTCTCTTGGTGGCTATCAATACATTATTAATAATTAATGTAAACTAAGTAAACGTAGTGTGAATAACGCGAAATTCTCGAAAACTATTTTATATCCATCGTCATTGTTTTAGTTATTAATATGTAAAGCTATTAATTAACATGTTAAGTATAAGAATAAACAGAATCGGATTAGCGACATCGTCGTCATTTGACACGAGTGCAATAATTTTACGATACGCATCCACAAGAATCCCGCCTACTATTTTTTTTTATAGCTTTCCCAAACAACAATTCACTACAAATATGACCTTAATCGCTCTATATCATTGATTTTCCTGCTCGTGTCACCGTTATTCAATATAGTATGATAACATAATGCCGCAAAACATCACGTCAACTCACTTCCAAATAGTGCACGGATTTTATATCAGTCGCTAATCACCTTCGAATAAAATTAATGACACAGAATGAAAGAGAAAAATATTATTCATTACGTGCCACAAAACATCCTTTTTCAAACATATTTATTACGAGCGGCAAGAAGCCTTTGTACAAACATCACTTAGTCAATATTTAATAGATAAAATATGCAGTAAAACCACTGATCACTTTTGTTATTAGACGGCTAATGTAGTAAAACTTGGAACTTTGAGGTTTGTTCGAAAAAATCTCGTGATTACTCGACATATCAAGTACAATTTTTAGTTAAAATATATTATAATTTTAATGTTAGTAATTTTATTTCTTATATTTCTATTTGAGCAACGTATTATAATACGTTTTAAATATGAATATGGTTATATCAGAATAATCACAATCAACAAAATTAATTTTGTCGTAGTTGTTTTCACTTAGGTATGTTATACAATTTGTTTTGTTCTATCAACTGAATTATGATAAACAATACAGAATAATATTTAACATAACTGTTTTGTTAAAACTCACTGAGTTATTTTTTTTCCGTGTAACAATTTTTTTTTTTAAATTATTATTATTGCAATAAATTCAACTAGTCAACATAATCATGTTGCAAATTGTTACCATTTTAAAAATTCACAATACAATATAATAATAAAAAATAATAGTAATAATAGTAATAATATAAATAATTAAAATACATATAGTGCACTGGGTTAGCGCGTTATCTATTTATAGAACGGCGAAACATTGGCATTGCGAATGAACGATCTGGAAGGGAAATCCGGGGGGAGTAAATAACTCGCTGGAAACATGCGTTTGTAATCAGTCGGTTCAGCTAGTCTCACTACAGGCAATCGGCCAAAGATGAAAAGAAAATTATATTATTTAACGAACCGTCTCGTTCATTTGGACGATGTTACAGAAAGAACTGGAGAAAGAAATAAAAAAAGTGACTGACAGACAGACGGAAATGTCCGCGGATATTCAATCCATGAGAAAAGATATGAGTAACGAGTTTAACAAGCATAATTCTAGTCAGAATGCTTTCAGAGAACAGCTACAAGTAAAAATAATTACATATTAGTTTTTATTAATACATTATATTTTATATAGATGTATAGATAGATCTATGTATATTGACCAAGCTGATTTTAAAAGTTTATTTAAAAATATTATAGCCATATAATATATATTGATTATATCTATTGGACGTCATTAAACAACAAATTTAACTATATTATTTTTTATTCGTAGATAAATAATATACGTATTGGTGTAGGAAAATAATCTTAAAACTAATAACAGTTGTTAAAAATATTATTTCGAATAGTTATTCTAAAAATACCTGCAATAGCAATTTGAATTATTCAAAAAAAATTATCATTAATATTATTTTGTAATAAATTTTTTAAACTTCAAAAACGTAGAAACTTTACCAAATATAGGTGATTATAGGGGAATTACATAATACGTTCAATAAACAATATCACGAAATTGCCTTTGTCATGAAAACACCTTACATCGCCTGTATATACTTATACATCGAACGTTGATACATTACAAAATATAATCTTATTTTAATTAATACAGTAAATATCTTAGTGTAAATTACACATTGCATAGTTTATACTAGGTATTATTAGTTAATAACGATGGGAAAAGTCTGGATTTGCGAAGATTAAAAACCCGGACTTTATTTTAAATCCAAAACCCAGTTTCTGGATACTAAAATCCAAGTTTTTTCTAACTCTAGTTTTTGAATTTTGAAATATTTAATTAGAATTATTTTATGAATTACTTATAATAAAGTCATAGTAAAACATATTTTTTATAATTAAATCAATACATTTAATATATTTAAATTAAGTTATTCGATTCAAAAACTAATCACAATTAAAAATGTATTTTTAATATTATATAACAATCAACAAAATATCAAAACCGTTACATCTAGTAAGTTCAATAATTTAAAATCAATCAAATACAAAAATACAAAATCCAAAAATCCAATATCCAAATTTTTTAATCTGAATTTTGATATTCGATTTTTTTTTGGATTTTTTAAAAATCCGAATTTGTATCATATCGCTAGTTGTAAGTTATTGATCATTGACCAAACATTTATACTTACGTTCTTGTGTCGGCTATTCTCCAAATTCATGTTAGTCAAAAAAGTATATAAATCAACTACCAATATGATACAACATTTATTATGTTATCTATTGAAAAACCCATCATACCTAAATCCACATGGAGGGTGATTTATTGTCGATACTCTCTATAAAAAAAATCCTTTTACCACATTCTTACCACAGTTTTCGCATAAAAATTATGTTTTTGTACACATATCAATTGGATAAGAATACAGGCTTTTATAATTTAACAGTTCATCATAGAAATTACTTGTCATATTACCAATAATGTAGCGTGTGATGGAACGGGGTACAAAAACGAATGCCTTCGCAATTGAGAATTTAAGTTTATTTAAATTTATGTTGTTTTAGAGAAGACTCCTGGCGTATTTTTCACTTGGTTTTTAACGTTATTTTTATTACAGGAAACCGTCTCAAACTTTTTTCAACAATCGAAAATCGTAGACAAATCACTAAATACCTGTCTTTGTAACCAAAACGATGATCCAAGTCAACTCCCGGACACAACGACTACGAACAAACTAGCAACAACGGTAAACAGTATGTATAATGGACTCAAAGAACGCTCGGATGACATGCAAATCTTACTCAAAGAATTGATCGAAATTACTGATAAATACCGTCGGAGATTGGACTCCGATAGGCATGACGTGATTAGCGAATTTTTAGACAGTTTCATGGAAGCGGCCATTAGCGAAATAGCGGCAATTCAGAAGAAATCAGAACAAGAACTTGAAGCCAAATTCAAAGAGCAACTGCAATTGCTCGTGG